ATAGCATAAAAACTTTCTTCTTTTGCTTTTAAATTCCAAAATGTTGCCATAGAAAGATCAAATTTTCAAGAAAAAGTATTTAATAAAGAGCTTTTAAAGCTCCAGTAAGCGAAATTGTAATTAGGTATCAGGTTAATCAGGTAGGGAAGTGCCGACAGGCACTTCAGAAGTGCAGAAGGCTTAATTTAGTGCTAACCCTGACAAACGGTATGGAATTCATTCTTTCTCACCACAGTCCTTTTAACTGAAATGGCAGAATAATAAACTACATCATAAAGTAATTCCAAATGCTTTCTGTAGTTGAAAACACAAGCGTACTATGTGTACTGGTAACACATACTCGGACAGTGGGTTTTTCAAGGGGCGGAATCCACGTAACCAGTAACCACTGTTTTCAGCCTTGGAGAACCGAAGCCACCTCCCTCCACTGCCTTGACGGGATGTAAAAATCTCGTGGAGAAAGTGTTCTTGGCTCAGAATTCCAGCACTGGCCAGACTCGGAGACATCTTATCCGTCCACTTCTATCCTTGCAAGGGATTATGAAATGCAGAACCGAGTGAAAGGTTTACTGAAAACAATAAAGTGTCCACAAGAAAAAGCTTGATGGCCCTGCTTTTTCTCCAAAACGCAGGATGAGGCTGCTTCCCCGGGGTTCAGTCCCTGCGAGAAGCCCGCGCAGGGGAGGCGCAGCCGCTGTGGGCTCGGTGGCGGCTCTCTTTTGCGGCTCCGCGGGCCGCGGGGGCACAAGTACCTGCGAGAGGGGCCGCCCACCCCTTGAGACGCTACCTTGCGCGCCGGCCACCCGGGCGCCAGCATCTAGGGCAGCGCGGGCTCCCCGCTCCGCCGGGACACCCGCTGTCGCTGCCGGGAGGCTCCGCTGGCTGCGCCCAGCGACCTGCAGGCGCCCGCGGGCAGGACTGGCGGTGCCCTTCCCACCCCGGGAGGATTTGAAAGCTTTGATTATCTAATTGCAGCTGACACTAAACCGATCTTCCTGCCTCTCAACATTCTTTCGATGGTCACACCGTTTTCACTGCAGGACCCGGTTGCGGCAGCAGGAGAGCCACTTTCCGTCTGTTTTTGAAAGTCAGCCAAAAGCGAAAGGGCGCGCTGCCGATTGGCTGCACGCAGACAAACCGCAGCCCTTTCCTATTCCTTTGTTTTCGGTTCCTCCTCTTTCCCGCTCTTCCCCCGATCGTCTGGCATACCAACACTAGCTATAATTTTCTACATGAGCCCCATATGTAAATTGGCACGTGTCCAACTTCTTAATTACTTTCCTGCTTCTATCTACAAAAGATCTAAGTAGCTAACACCACCGCATATTAATCAAAGCCTCTGTTTATAAATGTACAAAGCAGCCACCAAAACAATAGATTGCCTTTAGCATGGCCAGAAAAGAGTTTTTTAAAAAGATAAAAAAGCTCACAAGTGTTTCAAGCTGGAGTTACACTGCAGATAAGCAAAAACACAGTCTGAATAGAAAATTCACATTTTTTCCAGAAGCTTCATAGGGTGAATCAGTGCATTTATATACTACTCACACCTTACCAGGTAACATTTGTTGCCAATTGGCTGGATGGGAGCTCTCCTCCAGAATCAATACAGGAACTTAAAATTGATTTCCGTTTGCATTATTTTATTAGAAGGCCAATGTTTTATTTCAGGACAAACTGTTGTTATTTAAAGAGAGCACCTGGATCCAGGGCTAGGCTGGCCTGTCTGTCTCACAGGAGGCCCTCCACCCACTGTGAGGGGTGACCAAGTCTCTCTGGATGCCCCAGTGATGGGGGGCGGGCTGAACCCTGCCCCACAGTACGAGTGCCGCCTAATTGGGTCTCTACCCTCTGGAGCTGGCCCAGTCCCTGAGGCCTCCTGGGGTGTCAGACCAGAATCTCTGTAACTGAAATGCTCCCAGGCCCTCTTCCTCACAAGGCTTCTTCGCAGGGCTCCCCTCAGTTCCTTTCCAGTCCACACAGATGTCTCAAGGCCTCTTTTTCCCTGGCTACTCTGGGCATGCCTGTTTGAGAGCCATGTTTTTCCACAAGGGATGTGACCCCTAGGAGTTAATCTAAATGTGGAGTCAGAACATCAGCAATTAACAGGAACCATCCCCCTGAAAAACATCTTTTTTTGAATTGGAAGCCCAATGTAAAGAATCTGTGCTTAAACTTACACTTGTTGAAGGGCTTCCCTTCAGCATTAGCATTACCGAACCTTCATAAGTAAAAGTGGCACCAGGAGTCAGCCGTGCATGCTAGAATGGAAGTCTTGGTTCCCTGAGAACACCTGATAGTGCTGGTGTAAATAATGCTACAGAAACTACAAAACCAGCGGCATCTCTCCACCAATGCCCTGGGCTGACGTGGAGATGGCACGGAGCTAACACAAAGAGGGGCCGGTAGAACCTGAAATCTGGTTTAAAAAAAAAAAACAAAATGGAGAGCAATTTATTCTTTTTATTTTTTTAAAAAAACACGTTTTTTTTGGAAGTGGACCATTTTTAAAGTCTTTACTAAATTTATTACACCGTTGCTTCTGTCTTACATTTCAGTTTTGGGGCCATGAGGCATGTGGGACTAGGTCCTTGAGCACGGGTTGAATCCACACTCCCTGCACCGGAAAGTGAAGTCCTAACCACCGGACTGCCAGGGACGTCCCTGGAGGGAGCTTTAGATTGCTGCCCTCTGGTGACTTGCGAGCCAGTGAAAGTTCAGCCTGTTCTCAAACACAGGTGGTTTTTTATCATTACCTTCACCCACGCTGGTCATGCGAAGTCAATACTGCCACTGGCCACTTGGACCGGCTGCAGGGGCAACAGTCAGTCTGGGTGTGTTTCCGTCACCTCTGCAGATCATGCCACTTAGGGCAAGGAATAACTTCTGAGCATTAGGCTGGCAGTCAGTATGTATTATCATATACTCATATTCTTGGGGAAAAACACAGAAAGTTAATGTGCTGGGCTGAAACAACTCCTAACTTTGCTTTTCTTATCATTAGAAATGGTCTGCTATTAAATTCTTAAGGATCAGTCACTTCCTTAACCCCTGCTTGGGTAATTCAATCTCAGTTCTGTTGACCCAGCACTCATACTTTTAAATTTAGTCTTAGAAGAATGCAATCATGAATCAAACCATGCTTTTCATTTTAATGTGGAGAGGCTACAGGAGTGAAAACCCTAACACAAGTAAACACATAAAAATCTATGTATTACTTTAAAAAAAGTTATAAGAGCTTTTACTTCAACAGTATTTAAAAAGTTTCAATGTGGCAAGAAAATGTGGAACCCACTAATAGAATTTCAGTTGGATATGAATGAATTTATTAAGTAACTTGCACCATGAGAAAGAAAAGTTTATGAAGATTTTGTGAGTTGTTCTTTAGTTGCTGCTCTGTAATAGTGTTTCAAAGGTACAAATATATTTGCAGCATGTTTCAAAAGTCTCACAAGTTCCACATTCACAGCTAGCATCTGAATTTACTGAGCACTTACTGTATGCAGGCCCTGTGCTGAGTATGAATCAAATACCTCAGTTTTTCAATATAAGCTTTTTAAATCAAAACACCAAGCTATACAAGTCTGACTATACAATCTTTGTTAAGACTGGTCAGAAGACCATATTTCAGTGTGGAGAGTAATCGTATACTTGACTATTAAATTGGTGGCAGTTAAGCAGATGGGATTCTATTCAACGAATACATTTGATCATTTCTTCTCTTATTAGCTTTTTGCTGACAAACATTGACCTACATCCTCTCTACTAGGAATTTAGCAGATGAAAGTCAAGACTATTTGAAGAGACATGGCGAAGTTGTCTAAAAATATTTTTTCCAAATAAAACCACAAAGTCATGGTTTTGAGAAATGGTGTTGCAAATACTTCAATGTCATATTGGAATTATTCCCCATATTAAAAGGCAGCACATGAAGGAAAAAAAAATTGTGACACGTTTCTTTTAAATTCTAATCTAATACAAGAAGCCTCTTTGCCTCTTTAATTAAAGACATGAATTTCACTACCAGGCTAGAACCAGTGCCAATTGTTGAATTACTTGAAACAGAAAGATTTAAGAAAATAATGGAGGAGAATCATGGCTGTTGAACACATGGACTTTGCTCTCTTCCAAAAGTTTCCCTAAAACTCCAGTAAAGAAAATTTTTACAGTGCTAATCCATGAAATCAAGCAGAGGGGAACAGAAGAGAAGAGAGGAGAGATGCTGACATTCTGAGGCTGGAAAGCAAATGAGCAAGTGGCCAGTTCTCCTGCGAGCCCAGGGACAGCTGGCGTTGAACTGCAGGCCAGGATGCCAACGAGCAGCGCAGAGCCCCAGACTCTGCAGGGGCGCAGTGGGCAGCGCTGCCTCGGGGGTACTCAAATACGTCAGTTAGAAACAGCCACTCCCCATAAAATGCTATTACCTCCCTGCACAGAAAGCATGTGTGCAGTATGAGATGTCCTAATTACCTGGGAGAAAAGGGTTTCACTATCAGTTTTCACTACAGGGCTCTAAAGCACCTGCCGTGACGGATTTATATGGACTGACGAAGACCTTTAGTTTCTGGTGAGCAACAGACTTAGCTGAAGTAAAGTGAAAGAAAGTGAAAGTCGCTCAGTCCTGTCCAACTCTTTGTAACTGCATGGACTATGCTGTCCATGGAATTCTCCAGGCCAGAATACTGGAGTGGGTGGCCTTTCCCTTCTCCAGGGGGATCTTCCCAACCCAGGGATGGAGCCCAGGTCTCCTGAATTGTAGGCAGATTCTTTACCAGCTGAGCCACAAGGGAAGTAGCTAATGCCATCTGCAAATACACAAGAAACAAAATAAATAAGAAGGGGAAACAGAAGTAAACCTTAACATCGAATTGAAGCGAATGTATCATCGAGCTAGCTTTGCTAAGTGTACAGTAAATATGTCCATGTTCATTACTGAGCAGCAAAGGTGAAAACAGCAAACCAGTCCTCAGGTAGAAAGAGCGCTCTGGTTCTGGGTGGTTTACCTGGTTGGGGCTTACTGGGGTGCGGCTGTGCTCCGGCTCCAGGCAGCGGGGGTGGGCTCAGCCCTGCAGGCCCAGCGCCCTGCGTGGGACTCACGCCGCTCAGGGCCCCCGCGGGCAGTGGCTGACCTCTCTTTAACAGCTGCTTCTGTTCTTGCTGGCGGAAGCGTGGAGGCACCTCGCGAGGCAGGTAACGGGCTGCAGCTGGCTGCTGGCCGCCGGCAGACGCACGTTTGCCATTGCTGCCGCTGGAGAGGGTGCTGGTGGAAGTACTGGTACTGGTGCCGGCAGGTTGGGGCTGGCTTGAACAGGTCTTGGTAGGTTCTGGCACTAGAAGGAACAGAAGGAAAAGACCCTGACTCCTTAGTATTATCACCGCCTTCAATCCAACCCAAACCAAAGAAAACAGAACACAAAACCTAGGAATGACAATGTAGAGCTTTAGAAGTGAACTGCACCAAAGTCCAGAGTTCCAGGCTTCAGACCCACTTTTCCTATAAATGAACCTGGATCCTGATCTGTAGCCCTTGGCCAGTTTCCTCGCCAGAAAGGCAGGCCATCAGGCTGGGTCAGAACTGCAGGTCTCCAGCATGAGTGGGAGTCAGGTTAAAGGTCCGACTCCTGGGCCTCAACCGGGAATTCACTTGGTTGGGAGGGAGAGGAGGCTGCCAGTCTGCATTTCTGGTAAGTTCCCAGGAGAGGCTGGTGCCCCAGGCCCTGGGCCCACACTTTGAGAATCATATTTCTCAAAATTAAGAGATCATCAGACGTCCATGAATTTTTATATAAATTTGTTTTAATTCTGAAGAAAATTATATATATGTAACATTATAAAGACCATTATTATCCCTTGCAATCAGCCTGCATTTCTCATCTCCCCAGTGAGCTCCACCGTCCATCTTGTGACCCCATTGTTCACAGTATCCGAGAGGCCTCTGCCCACAGTTTTTCTGTCGCCCTGCACAGCAACCCCTCAATTCTGGATGAAGCCGCTGTCCACTCGCTCCTTCCTGGCTTGGACTGCCGTGCAGTCTGAAATCGCTGAGAACTCCTGGGCCCCGGCCTCAGGGCACCCTCAGTGCTTCCTGAGCAGCCTACGGTTTCCTGGGTCTGCCTGGCTCTGCTACTGCTGTTGATGACTCACTGAACAACCTTCCACTCTTGGGCGATAATGCCTTTATCTCCCGACCCCAGTAAGATAAACTTGACCTTATGCTCCAGAGAAATAAAGGCCAGCAGGCCAAAGCTGCAGGTGTACACATCACACTGTTGTCTGCCCCACACTTCCCCCAGGATGGTACTGTACTTCCCCAATCTCAAGACTCACATTTCTTCACGTGTTAAAGTCACTTCACCGGCACGTGTCTTACCATCGATGGCATGTCCCTTTCTCAGCGGCACATGAGATACAGGGGCACCTCACAGTCTGTGGTGTCAGGACACACAGACGACTCCCCCTACAGCTCTGGGCTCACCTCAGGGACTCTATGTCTTCGACCCATGACACTCTCCAGAGCAGACAGGCCCGAAGATGAAGACTGGGTCTTCCAGTAATTCTTTGTTTTACAAATATTTATATTTTTTCTTCCAGCCAGACAGTAAAGAATCTGCCTGCAATGCTGGAGAGCCAGGTTCATTCCCTGGGTCGGGAAGATCCCCTGGAGACGGGAATGGCAACCCTCTCTGGTATTCTTGTCTGGAGAATTCCTTGGACAGAGGAGCCTGGCAGGCTACAATCCATGGGGTTGCAAAAAATTGGACACAACTGAGCAACTAATACACATACACACACACTTTTTTTTCTCCCAGAGATTAGTAGATAGACATTGCTGAGTCCACAGGAGAAGAGAAATCCGGCCCCTGTGTTCACGTGTGGAGTAGAGGAGAGCACATTTCCAGCCAGTAACCTGCCCAGGGATGCGACCACCCCGCCACCAGCTCCTCCTGATCGGCACGTGAACAGGCCAACAGCGGCGCTCCTGCTCGCCTCAACCCCACACCGCCCGCCAGCCACGTCCGACCGGTCCCCTCTCCCAGTCCCCTCTCCCCCGGCACGCTTCCTGAAGTGCTGCTTCCTCACCTGCCCTGGGCCCTCACCCAGCTCCTCTCACCGCCCTCTTCCTCCTTGATGCTGAAAGCCTACGCCCCCCGAGCCAGGCTGCCTGTGTCGGCGGTGGCCACTCTGACCCCCAAGCCTCCCTGCTTCAGCCTTCACAACATTGGGAGTCTGTTCTCAGAGCTCCTCTGACCTTTGCAGCCACTCATTCCTGCTCCCAGGGACAGGCTGCTTCCTCCCTCTCTAAAGTTCCGCTGCAGACTCTCATCCTGGGTCATCTGTCTTCTCCCGCTTCATTCATCAATCCTGTGGTGATGGTCTAAGCCCTGGAGGGCTATTGGATATCAACATCGATATGGACATTGATGTCTTAATGGGCACTTCAAAGTCAGCACGTCCAAAACACTCATCAGCTTTATCACCTCAGCAGTATTTTAGCGGTTCTTCCTGACCCAGGGATCGAACCTGCATCTCTTGCTTTGCAGGCAGATTCTTTACCGTCTGATCAACAAAATAATGCATAAAGCAGTTGATCATATATCTCAGATTCAACAAAATTCCTAGTCATTCTTTAAATATCAGATTGAATGTTACTTCCCTTGACAACCTTCCCTGACTCACCCAGGGCAATCTAGGTGCTTCTGGAACATTCACAGTTCCCTGTATTTGCCACAGCATTCAGCATGGTATATTGCTTAGATGAACATCCATTATATATTTATTTTTAAAGAAATACATTTTTTTCCTGACATTGGCTTTTAGCTAATTAAGGTGGCAGCATTACCTAAGTATTTACCTAAATGAATGAAAAGCTTATGTCCGCACACAAAAACCTCTACAGGAATGTTTATAGAAGTTTTATTCATTATGGCCCCAAACTGGAAGCAACCAATATATTCTTCTATAGGCGAGCAGATAAAACAGACTGTGGTATATTCATACAATGGACTGTTAGTGTTAAAAAGAAATGAGCTCTCAATCCATGAAAAAAGAAATGGAGGAACATTAAATGCATATTATTAGGTGAAAGAAGCCAGTCTGGAAAGGCCACATGCTCCAATTCCTACCATATAATATTCTGGGAAAAGGTGGTAACACAGAGACCACCAGGCCTTCTTCAGTGGTTGAGAGGGGCTTGGGGTGGGGGGGAGGGAGGGAAGGAGGGGTGCGCAGGCCGAGTCCGGGAGTCATCTAGGGGTGGTGAGTGACACGGTGGTGGTCCTTTAAGAGTGGGCACGCGGCGTGATGGAAGTGGGTGCACAGTGGGTAATAGTGGGATTCTGTAACAGTGGACACGCAACTTCAGGCATTTGTCAAAACCCATCAAACTATACAACACAGAGCGTGAACTCACAGGGAAACTACTGGACTTTAGCTAATGACAAGGTATCAATACTGGTTCAACAGCTGTAACAAAGGCGCCACAACCAGGAAAGACGCTAATAATAGGGGCAATGGAGGGTGGGTTGGGGGCGGAGAGATGCAACAAGTGGGAACTCTATTTTCTGCTCAGTCTTTCTGTAAACCTAAAACTGCTCAAAAAAAAAAAAAAATACAGTCTAATAGTTAAAAAGACAAAAAACAAAAAAGAGAGTTCTACCTGTCCTTGTTCCAAGACCCCATTTCTCCTTTGTCCTAACAGACACTGGCTGGCCGGCTACTACCAAAGTCAAGGTGCTTCCTTCCACCTGCCATCCATCTAGTCTGTTCAAAGGCCAGGAACAGAGAAAACCTACCTGAACTCAAAACCTGGAGGAAACAACTGGCAAGGACTCGAAAGCAACAGGAGCCTAAGAATCACCCCGTTCTCCCCTCGCCCACACAGAGCCCAGGAGGCCCAAGTCTGCACCGCCCATCTTAATATGGCAGCCACTAACCACATGAGGCTACTGAGCACTCGATGTGCGAGCTGAGACGTGCTGTCGGTACATTTCACATGCATTTCAAAGAGTCAGTGCACAAAAACCTCATTGATTTTTATCGCGACCTTGCATTGAAATGATAAAATTTTGGGAATATATTGAATTAAACATATTAACTGATCTCACCTGTTAGTTTTTAATCTTAAGATGTTGCTACTAGAATATTTAAATTCCTTATGCGATTCACACATGAATTATGAGTCGCCTGAATTTTATGTCTATCAAATAATGCCAGTCTAGAAATAGCACTGCCTTCTTGAAGGAGATAAAATCTGAGTTGGCTTCTCAGAAATACGCTAAATGTAAATAACTGTTTCCATGAAGGATCATCGACTGTGGCAGACAGATCACAAGCTTTTTAGGTGAGAGGTTTTCCCTTATAACTCTGTACTAGCAGAAGTGCTAGCACCGTGTCTCACCAACAGAAAAACATCACTAGATGTTTGCAGAGTAACAACTGAGAGCAAGGGCCCAGAGTACAGAACAAGTGTGCTACTCACAATTTACCCAGAGATTTTTTCAGATCTTTGAAACTATCAGGCAACTAACAATCTCAATTGATTAAGAATCTAAAAATCTGGATCTGTTCTTATAATAGAGAGAAATCAAATGGTCAGGTTTTGACTATCCACACATGCTCTTCAGAGCCAAATTTCTCTATCTATCATTCCCCAAAGACACACGGCTAGGGTGTTAAAACAATCCTGATGTTCCTCTTCTCAAACGGGCCCGGATCTAAGGGTCTCACAGGCCAGTCCACCCTACACATCACTATCTTCACAGTAGAATGCCTTAGGGCTTCCCTCGTAGCTCAGTTGGTAAAGAATCTGCCTACAATGCAGGAGACCCAGGTTTGATTCCCAGGTCAGGAAGATCCCCTGGAGAAGAAAATGGCAACCCACTCCAGTATTCTTGCCTGGAGAATCCCATGGACAGAGGACATGGAGTCGCAAGAGTCAGACATGACTTAGTGACTAAACCACCAGAATGCCTTAAGGCAAGAAGAATTTTAGCTTGATTTATATGGATTGGCAACAAATGATTTGTTTTATTTAGGAAAAAAAATTAGAGCAGCAGCCAGTGAATAACTATAAAGCAAATAAAGAACTTCCAGCAAGCAAGCTTGATGTTTTGTTTCCTTTAAGAAATCTTTGCTTTTTTTCTTTTACATGAGGGTGACACCTGCTGGTGAAAAAGCAGGATGTTAAATCCTTATGTAAGAGAGCAAGTCCTTTCAACAATTTTTCTTTCCAAGAAACAGTTTTCTGCTTTCGGGTAAAAATTTCAGAGGATACTGTCACACCAGAGTCCAAATAGTTTACAAATTCCTACTACTGCTTTTCCAAAACAAC